CAGGGAGAAATCTAGAGCTCCCAGGGGTAACCTCACAATGAAGGCTGCACCAGCCTCTGCCCTGGTGGGCCTGACGGGCCTCCCCACCCCCACCCGGACCCTCGGGCACTGCCCCCTACCGACGATGGTGGCTTGGAACTCTGTGGGCCTCACGGTGGGCCAGGAGCACTGACCCATTCGGTCTCCCGTAGCTCAGTCCACGACTTTCTCATTCCCAGAGATCACGTCCCCCCATGCCCAGGCTGGGCTTCAGCTGCCAGGATTCGCCCCTGAGCACCCCTAGGTCTGGCCTGGCTGCTGCTGTGGGAGCCCAGCGAGCCTGGCAGAGGGGCTGTCCTGGTCGCTGTCCCAACTGCCCCTCACTCCAGCCCCTCTCCTTTATCTTCTTGGAGCCCCTGCCCCCTGCCCTGCCCCTCTCCTCTCCTGAAGCCCGCAGAGTTCTTGCTCCCACCTTATCCTGTGTCCACGTTCTCTCTGTCCTCTCACTGCTTCCTCCCAGACTGGCAGCAGCCAGTTTGTGGGGCCATGAGCCTCCAGGCCCAGTCAGTCCCTGACCAATTCCCCCTGTTGCTCAGAGACTTCCCTTTCTGAGTCCTGGAGGGCTCGTAATGACCCCATAGAACCTCCCCACCCCAGCTCTGCCCCTTTCTCTGAGACTCAGTCTATGCTACTGGGAGCTGGACACCAGACTTGGCCTTGGGGAACCTTGATGCTTCTCTGGTGTTGATCCCGTCCTGCTCTGGAAATCCCTCTCAATACACACACTCCCAACTAGGGCCACTAAGCCTGGCCACGCTGCCCTCACGAGTCCTGCAGCCTGAAAGCAACCCCAACTCCCCCATATCGCCCGTGCCCACTATGGCATCCACGAATGCACCTGTCCTCCCTGCCCTGAGCACATTCAGGCCCCAGTGGTCTCCGGCTGTCTCCTGTAGCTCTGACATCTCCCCCTCTCACTTTCGCTGGGCTGAGAATCAAATTTATCTCTGATGGTGGGGCACAGGGTCACTGTGGGCTTGTGCTGTCTGGGGAGCCTGTGGGCAGTGAAGGGTTCCACACTGGGGTGAGGCTCTGGGCAGAGAAATTCCATCCAGTCCTTGAGAGGTTTGGGAAATACCTGGAGGTTTGCAGGTCCTTTACCTGAGACATGATCTGGCCACTAGGGAGCCTGGCACCCACGAAGCATTGGGGGCAAGTTGGGGGCTCTTCCTGGTGGGCACTACAGAGGAGGTGTAGACGGAACAGGCACCATGGGCATGGGCATGTCATGTCAGGTTCTGATCCATGGGGAGACCCCCACAGGACAGCTCATGCTTCATCAAGAAGCATGAGCCGTTCCCTGGCAGGACCCACCCACCCAATGCCACACACCCACACAGGCTGGGATGCATCCATTTGTAGAAACAATCTTGGAAACAGGACAGTGGCTGTCAGGGAGACTGATTCAGCCCTCTCCCCTCTCTCTCCTCTGCCACCAATTCATGATCCCCTAAACTGTCCCAGGTAGTGCCTAGAACTCAGTTGCTGACTGTTCCAGCCTCCATCCTTTTCAGGAGTTCCTTTCCCAGAATAGAAACAGTGCACTGGAGGAGGGGGAGCTCTCGGCTCAGACTTTTGCTTGGTCTGTAGCCCATGAACTGAAGGTTTGAGTGTTGCCTCGTTTTCCGTGGGCCAGGACGGGTAGATGGTTGTAGCCAAGTGCCGTTTTGAAAATCGGATGCTCTGAATGAGTGTTTCCTCTAAGCACTGAGATCCTTCCAAGTACTGCTTCATTGACCCTCATGCCCTGTGTACATACCTGAGAGGTTTGGGGTTTGTGGGGATCTCTATTTGCTCCAGCCTTTGTGATCAGGAGACCCTGTGGTGCCAGGGTACGTTCTTGACCTCATGCATCCCAAGCCTGTACTGAGTCTCCTGAGACTTCTCTCTGGCCTTCTGGACAGAATTTTTACTCAAAAAGTGTAAAATGCCCTGGACCGTGCAAGGACAGCCCACAAACCGGAAATATCTCAACATTTAGGTGGGAAAGCAGGGGTGAGGAATCATTCTCCACTCCTCTCTCCTGGGATATAGTCTAAGGTGGGGGGTGGGGAGGTGGTCATTTATTATTGCTACTCTTTGAACTATTTCTATGGGGGTGAGTATTTCTGCTCCTGGGACTCCTTATTGTGTAGTGTTGGAGGACATGTCTCCTATCTGAGCTCTGTTCTCTGTTGTGGGATATTTCTTACCCCAGAGCTCTTGTGTCTAGTTTGGAAAACAATTTTCCCCAACATCCCTGGTGTGTTTTTTTTGGAGGAAATTTCAGCTTTGCTCATTCCTGGTGTCGAGTAATTGTGAACATTTCTGTCCTCGGAACCCTGCTGTCTATTGTTAGGGGAAACCTCTGCACCCCATGTCACTGGTGCCTACTGCTTGTGGCCTGTTCTTGCCTCCCAGACCACTAGTGTCTATTACTAGGGGACATTTCTGCCCCCCACATCCCCATTGCCCAGTGTTGGGGGACATTTCTGCCTCCAGATTCACGGTCTTCCCCACACCACCAGCTTGTCCTTCTTGACTGTTACCACCTCCAGCTCCTCAGGCTTTATGATCTCCACTGTGTTCGCCTCCACTTCAGTGCCCTTGGATTGACTGAAACTGGATAGACTGCGGGGCAGCCCCAGGCTCTCAGCCAACCAAGGGAGGTGGAGGGCTCGGGAGCAGGGTCCGCCTGGTTCTACCACCCCGGGTGTCCTGCCTCTTGACCCCCACTGTGGGCTTCTTCCTCCTGAGGACTCTGACACACATTTTCAGGACACTTTTCTGTCAAAGCAGCAGCCAAGTCCTGCCCTGAGTCAGGCCACTATGGACTGTCCAAGTGGACTGTCACTGCTCAGGCAGAGTCACGACTGGAGACCCAGTGCTGTCACCTCCTTCCCCTCCCTCACCCCTACCACCTAACAGGGAAATCCCTCTTATGGCCTCTAAGAATTTGAGCAGTCCTTCCTTAGGGCACTGGGAAAAGGCCGGCCCTGTCTGCTTGCAGCACTTTTCTTTGGGTGTTAGCACCACACCCAGACATGCTCAGGCTTTACCCCTGACTTAGCTCAGGGACCATACCTAGTGGAACTAGGGGGGCCCATTGATCCAACGTCAGCAGTGTGCAAGACGATCACTTTATCTGCTGGACTAATGCCCTGCTCCAAGCAGTATTTTTTTTTTCAGCTGCTTCCCACCTAAGTCTCCTTCCTGTAGAGTTGGGCTCCCTTAAAGATGCCTCACTCCCCCTTCTGTATGGCACCGTGCCCAGGGAGACAGCCCCGTGGAACCCGAGGCTTCCACTCCCGAGCACTTTCAGAGTTTTCAAGAATGGGCCCCAGGGATATTGCAGGGTTTAAGGTGCTTGCCTTGATGCGGCCCAGCCCTGTTCAAGTCCTGATACTAGGATCTCCTGAGCCCTGCTGTAGAGGAGAGTGCACCTCTACCCACATTTCTCGCAGGCTAATTTCAGACAGGCTACCCTGGGGAGCAGGATCTGCAATGAGGCACAGGGTCTGGGAGAGACGAGACAGGCACTGAAATCACCCGGGATGGCCCAGAGGTGGTCTGTCACACTGTTCAACATAGAAACCTGGGAAAATCCCCCGAATTTTCCTACGTTATTGATATGCTCCAGATCCTTCTCTGCACCAAGAAAGCTTGGTCATTTCTTGTTCCATACTCTCCTGTCAGCTGCTTGCTAATACCCCGTCGCCCATCAGATCTGCTGTAAAACTGATCTCTCGCCTTGTGCGGTGTTCAGACTTTGGAGCTGTTCATTCCATTAGCACTATTATCTCATCATGTTCTCCCACATTCCAAAATGTGCTTTTTTTTCCTTTACGCGTCACACCCAGCGATGCACAGGGGTTACTCTTGGCTCATGCACTCAGGAATTACTCCTGGTGGTACTCAGGGAACCATATAGGATTCTGCGAATCAAATCCAGGTCAGCCGTGTGCAAGGCAAACACCCTACTCACTGTGCTATCACTCCAGTCCCTGCTGCTTGGTTTTTAGTTAGCTTCAGGCAGAAATTTTGGCAAAGTTCGTATGAGTTCATAGTCGTTGAAAATTCAAAGTTATATTAGTGCTACAATTCTCATTTGTGAAACAACAAAACTCACTACCAAGCAGGGGAGAAAGCAAGACAAGACCAAAAGGAAAAAGAGCAACACCCAAGCAGTGGCACCTGGTGCCCAGGAGGAGTTGGCAGAGATCAGGGCAGCTGGGTGGCACTGCCACTCGTCCAGTGGAGACAGCACTACCCCAGTGAAGTGCTTAAGGCCAGACCCCAGCACCTCCAGTGTGCCCTTGGTCTAGAGGAGGTGAGAACTGGCAGGGCAGACAAGGGGCAGGGAGAAAGAGGGGAGCCAGAGCAGGAGCAGGAGTCAGGGGTGGAGGATGCGGAGGGGCAGAAGGCAGGCCCCAGATCATTGCCCCAGAGGGCCATGACATGCTGCAGGAGAGAACAAAGTGCCAATATGACACCAGACAAGCTGTGACCCTCTGTGAATGGGAGTGGCAGACATTAAATGTTGGGTAGCTTCCAGAAATGTCTACTGACACCAGGACCACTAGGACAGTCTGACAGAGTCACAAGGAGTCCCCAGGCAGGCAGGGAAGGCAGGGTAACTTGGTACCTACACTCCCAAAAAGAGCCTCGTGGAAACGGTCGCCCCATGACCTCAAGACAGGGCAACATAGGAAGCAGAGCTCGATGAAGGTATCGGAGGTGCAGTCCTTCCCGGCTTTTGCTGGGCCTGAGAATCCATGGTCTCAGCAGATGCTGGGGGTTCCATATGGAAAACAAGGCTCTCCCTGTTCCCCACTTTAGTATCTTATTGGCGTTCGATCTCCCGACAGAGCTAGAAGAGCAAATAAATGTCCACCTTGACACTGTGGATTCCCCCTTTGGAAAATACCCTCTCCAGGCGCTCTCTAATGGCAGTATCATGCCCCTCTGCTGGTAAACTCATGCTAGGAGTGAGCCTCCAAAGACAGCCGCAATATCTGGTAGCCCATGAGGTGTGGCTAGGGATAGGGAAAGATACTGCGCAGGTCTGGGAGGCAGGAATAGTGGTGGGATGCAGCTCAACTGGGAGCAACCCATTGGCCTCAGTTGAGAAGTCATGACCAGCGCCGAGTCAGTGTGGTCGCTCCTGCTGGTCACCTTGTGGTACCCAGCCCTTCCACTCTCTTGAGTCTGTTTTCCTCTAGTGCCCAATGATTGACCGGCCTGAACCTCAAAAGATGTGTTTCCCCCTTTGCAAATTGTTCCAGGAAGCAGACCCCTGTTTGCGTTTGGGCCAAAGGATCCAGAGACAGGAGGAAACCTCAGTTACTGTGGACCCATTGCCCAAGGATTCAAAAACTCGACCACCTTTTTCAGGAAGACCCTGGCTCTGGACTTAAGAAAATCCTCGTTGGGGCCCTGGAATGGACCATCCTGCAATCTGTAGATGATAAGGTCTTAGTGTCAGAAGCCCAAGAGGACTGAAAGAGAGCCTCAGAGGCACTGCTCCAGCTCTTGGTTGAGGCTGGGCACCAGACCTCCTGGAAGAATGAGCATTCAGAAGTGAAAAAAAGAAAAATAACCCCAAAAAACCCTTTCTAATCAGCAGTAGGGCCCAGAGGCAAAGAGGTTGATCCTCTTAGTGCCTGAGAAAGGCCACCAGGTTCTAGGTGCCCTGACCCAGGGTAGGGCCATTGGCAGAGGTCTGGGCATACCTGTCTCGGAGGCAGGGGGCTCTGATCTCTCGCTGTGCCATAGAGGTAAACAAACTATCTACCTCCAGGTCCCCATTCAGGGGTGACACTCATGACTAACAAAGGGCCCCAGTGGCTACCAATTGCCCAGATGGCACAGTCCCTGGGATTATGATGTGAAAACCCACATCTAACTTTTGCAACTCTAGATTAATCCCCTAGCCTTTCTGCCTGTCGGATGGGACCCCATCCTCTGACTTGCAAGAAGCAGTGGATTACATCTCTTGCTCAGAACCACTGAACAGTTCAGGAACAGTTTCCAACCTGAGTGGCATCTGGGTAAAGACCATAATAAAGAAGCCCTGAATCCCTCTGGAAAGGCTGGGGGGGGGAGGGGTGCGCTCGGGGAGGGATAGGGACAAGCGCGAAACATGGTGAGACCCCATGATCTCTTAATTTTCATATTAAAAATTGAAATTTATTTCTTTGGATTTTTTACTGGTTCTTTATTTTATGTTTGAGTTTGTTCCTGCAGATATGGATGTGTTGGAGGCTGTGTAACTATTTTTTTATTCAATAATTTTTTTATTATTTTTTTATTAGTGAAACACCATGAGGTACAGTTGTAGACATAAATTTTTTGCTTGGGTTTCAGTCACACAATGATCAAGTACCCATCCTCCACCACCACGGGTCCCAGCATCCCTCCCACCTCCCTTCCCCCTCCTTTCCCACCCTACCTCTGTGGCAGGGGATTCCCCCTTGTTCTCTCTCTCCTTTTGGGTGCTGTGGTTTGCAAGAGAGGAACTGAGTGGTAGTCATGTTTGGTCTATAGTCTACTTTCAGCATGCTTCTCCCACCCTGGGAGGATCCTCCCAGCACCCTTTATTTGGTGCCCTCTTCTCTAGCTGAGCTTCCTTGGAGACTGTGTAACTTCTTTAATTGCAGAGTACGAGTCTCAATGTTGTTCTGTTTGGGTCATCTCGCCACTCCTAGTACGCAGCATCCCTGCCATGGGGGCACGTCTGCAATTGCTTTGTGTAGCCGCATAGCCTCATAGTCCCATAGCCCCATTCCTCAATGGGAAGGGGCAGAGGAGGGGAGAAGGGAGGGGGCAGGAAGGAGGAGTGGGAGAGGAGCAGGGCGGGAAGGAAGAGGGAAGAAAGACAAGGTTGGGGTAAATGAATATGATTTTGACAGGGTAGGTAAAAGACGGAATTACAGGTGAGTAAGAATTCTGTTGAACCATTTCTGACTCTTGGGGGGAACACATCACTTTCAGGCAGGTCACTTTGTGCCCTGGGATGGGTGTCTGCAGCCTCCTTACCTCACGGGCATCACAGTCTGTCTGATCTTCTGCCAACACAATTTGTCTTTGACGGGTTGTTGGCTCAGGTCTGTCTTGGATCTGGGTGTGATTTCCACCTCTAGGTGAAAGGGAGGATGGGGTGTGCATGGGGTGTCTTTAGGAAGGACACTGCCTTCTGGTTCACACAGAACACTTGGGGTTCCAAGGCGGGTGTAGCCCGTAGGATGGCGGGGATCAAACCCAGATCAGCCACGTGCAAAGCAACAACCTACCACTGTACTATCGCTCCAGCCCTTGAATTTCTTCTTGGAGGAAGTTTCTGTTCATTATTCCTCTCTGCATTTGTTTGATGGGGTTGGGAGATATTTTTTTGGTAAAGTTCTACCAATGTGCTATATAACTTGGATATTAGCCTTTCATCAGATAGGTATTGGGTAAATAATTTTTCCCATTCTGTGGGCTATCTTAGTAGCTTAGACGCCATTGCTTTTTTTTTTAAATAAAAGTTTTATATTGGTGTATCTTTGATTTTTCTGTTCTCTTTTCATGCTTTATATTTTGCTGACTTTTTTGCAAATTTTTATTTTGTTTTTATAAAGTTGTTTACAATAATTTATTGCATTTAATATTCAAACACCAATTCCACCACCATCGTACCTTCCCACCACAGTATTTTGAATGTTACCACTCCAAATCTTAGAGGTACTCTCCTGGGGTCATTGACATCGTACTCAGGGGCATGTAGATGACAGGCTCTAGACATGGTGAATCCCATGGCAAGGGCCACCCACAATCTAGAAGCAACTGCCAACTTCTGGCAGGACACACCTCGCCCGAGACACATACCCACACGGCCTGGGATGGATCCATGTATTGAAACAAGCTTGGAAATAGGACAGTGACTGTCAGAGAGTGACCCAGCATGCCTCCTTCCTCTCTCTTCTCCTCAATTCATTAGTGCCCAACCAGCCCCCAAAGAGTGTCTAGAACTGGTTGCTCTGATGTTTCCAGCCCCCATTAGCTTCAGGGCTGCCATATGGAGAAACGGGACTGTGTACTGGGGAGGGAGAGCTCCCACCTCAAGCCCTTGTTTGGCTTTTGGAGCTATCATGACTGAAGTTTGAGTGTGGCCCAGTTTAAATTTCTGCTCCCAACATCCCTGGTGCCTAGAGGTAGGAGACATTTTTGTCCCACTGATCCCTGCGGTCGAGTGTTGGGGGACCATTCTGCCCCCTTGATCCCTAGGGTCTAGTGCTGAGGGAAAGTGGAAGAGTGGGGAGGAGGGAAGAAGGAGGAGGGTGGGAAGAACTGGATCAGGACTAGATTAGTTGGAATTGAAGAACACAGAGTACATCATCAGGGTAGAAAAAGTGGATTAATGGTGAACAAGCTTGCCAGCTGAACTCAAGTGGACGAGCTGGATTCTGGTTATTTGTGGGCAGGTCATTACAGGATCCGGATCTGAGGTCTGCGGCCTCCTGTTCCTCACAGACAGGAACAGGAGGGTCTCTCTGGGTTCTTCACACAATCCATCATCCCGCTCCCCAGGTCTGGACACCAGACCTTAGTCTCAGACCTTAGTCATCCAGATCCTTAGTCTTCTCACACGCCACCAGCCTGTCCTTCATGACCATCACCTCGAGTTCCATAGAGGTCATGGTCTCACAAACCTCCACTATGTTCACCTCCAACTCCGTGTTCTTTGACACTGGATTGACTATGGGGCACTCCAGGGTCTCAGCCAAGCAAGGAAGGTGGAGGCATCTCAGGGGTCCCGCATGGCTCCACCTCCCATATAGCACCACCTCCAGATCCCCATCAGGAACTTCTCCCTCCTGGAGACCCACCGCACCACTCACCCTCTTCAGGGTACCCTTGGAATTCCAGCAAGGCCTGGGGCTCAGTTGCTCCTGATTTCAGGACTGAGGACCCCTAAAGATGAAGGCACCAGGTGAGTAGGCAGGTCTAGGGCCTGATGCGCCTTCCTGTCCCTGAGCCCCTGCCCATCCCCTCACCTGGGTTTCCCTCAGCTCCCTGAAGGTGGCCTCCAGCAGGGCCTGCTGCCTTGTTAGCACCTGCTGCAGCTGGTCCATGAGCTCCTTGTGCCTCAGCACCTGCTCAACCTTGGAGCCCATGTGAGTGGGCCATTCAGGTGTGGGGTTGCAGCTGTGTGCTGCTTTTGGTACCAGCAGAAGCATTCCAGGCTGCAGGCACTGCACCTTCTCGTCTTGCATGCACATCTCTGTCATGAGACAGGGTCGAAGGCTGTCCAGATCCCACCACAACATTCAGGGCCCAGACACACACACACAGGCCCAAGGAAAACAGCACATGGGGTTACCTGTCCCCTGCACATTCCGCTGGGGGTCTTTCTCCCAAGACCTAAGAGAGGGGGCCTCCCTATACCTCGACCCCGCAGCCTCCCTGCTACTAGGACCCTCTCTGTTCAGTGAGGGCCAATCCACACCCCCACAACCCCTCTAGCCTTTTCTAGATTTTGATATATTATAGTGGGTGGCGTCCTGGCCTGTCCTTCCTCCCACCAACCCAGGCGGGCTCCTACCCTCACAGTGGGTCTCCCCCGGCACCTTCTGTCATTTCTCCATATCCACCTTGTCCTGATTCACTCCCCTTGCAGCTGATCCGGAGCTGACTCTGCAGTAGCACCTGCTCCTCCTCCTGCTTATTCTCAGAGACCGACACTGGTCAGAGGCCACGTCCTACTGCGGGAGGCCGAGATCCCAGTCTTGTTGCTGCCGCAGACACTCACCTGTTTGTCCTGCAGTCCCACCTGTGGGCACAAGGCTGGGAGTGAGGACAGGCAGCCAGGGCATCCTGCTCTGGGTCTAGGGATGTGGAGGTCAAGCACCGACTCCCAGGCCCAAGGCTGGCAGCACCTGGGCAATCTGTGCCCTGCACAGGCCCCCATGGTCTTGCTCCAGGGGCCTAAGAGATGAGACCTCCCTTGACTGGGGACCCTGTCTCTTGTCCTGTGCTCAGGGATCACCCCTAACGG